AGTAAATTTTTCTGATTTTAACCTCCCCTCTCTGCCCTATTAGGCAACATTTTTACAGAGTGCACCATTGTTCTGAATATGCATGAAATAATTGACTCTGGATATTCAACAAGTAAAAACCATTGTTTGGTGAGGCGTTCAGGCTTGTTGAAAACTGAGGACTCTTTTCACCCAATGTAAACAATGTGTTCAATCTGTTTTCTTTATAAAAGATTTCTGTATTGCATGTGATATTATTGTTACATAGTCGAGATGAAACAGCAAATAATATTTTCCTCATATGCAAACTATCTGTTTAACACTGTTTCCTGCTGACCTCCCAAAAGTTTAGTTTCACACTTTCGGTCGCCTGTTAACTATTGGTCACTAGAGGTGCCAGGTCATTCACAAGTTAGATTTGTGTGTTACTTCTGTTTCCTATGGACAGGAACACCTCTAATAATATAAGAGTATAAGGGTAATTTTGTACCAAAAAATACTTATTTATTTTTTGGTTGTACTGTATTTCAACAAAGTATGTCACTTTGGTACCATTGCCAACATGGAGAATGTAACCGGAGAGCATGATTCTACTTGCAAAATCGCATGTCTCCACCGGGACTCGAACCCGGGACCTCTGTGTTACAAGGCAGCGCGTTAACCGACTGAGCTAAAGAAGTACTTCCTTAGCTCAACCACTTACGGCTGACTAAGTATCTACTAAATTTCTAAGGGAAGCAATCCCGTCACACTTCCCCAACCTCAAGAGTCATTATACTCTATAATGATGATATCTTCATCTTTTTTATATTTATGTTTTAACCTGGCTAGGTATTTCTTCTAACCGTGGGTTTTTATTGTTGGGAGCCAATGTAACCGGAGAGCATGATTCTACTTGCAAAGACGCATGTCTCCACTGGGACCTCTGTGTTACAAGGCAGCGCGTTAACCGACTGAGCTAAAGAAGTACTTCCTTAGCTCAACCGCTTACGGCTGACTAAGTATCTACTAAATTTCTAAGGGAAGCAACCCTGTCACAAGAACTTCTTAGTTCGGCCTGCTGGCAATAGTTAAGTTGTACTTAAGATATACCACCAAATCATTGGCAGGATGAATTATATATGCACATTACATGTGATATATGCAGTAACATGCCATCATACAGGTGTGTGACTCACCTGTGTGTCTCACCTGTGTGTCTACCTGTTGTTATTAATTATGTTTACATTAATGAGAGTAGATTTATACCTTACAATTATATCCGAATTAAAAAGGAGGTAATTTTGTATTCATGTGTTATTATTTTATGATTTAAAATTTGCAATTTGATTATTGAGAATTGCACGAATTTGACATACCTTGAGATTTAAATTACATTCTTTGAAGGATTAGGTTTCATAAATTTACATGTATCATGTTTGTATCATAAAAGTTTGAATAATAACACAGAATTTTCTGTAAACCTTGACTGACTTTTACTTACTTATCAATCCTTTACTAAAACATGTTATTGCATTTAATGCAATACACTCCAGGTGCAAATCCAGAATTTGTTTGAAAGGGGGTTTTAGTGAAAGGGGTTTTGCTGCTTAAGCTATAATTTTACATTTTCCATAATAAGAAAACAATGTTTGTGTGATAGCAATTCACGTAGATTGGTAATAATCAAGAATCTAAAAACTGGACAAAATAGCTTCTTTGATAGGAGGAAATGATGCAACCACTAAATTAAATTATCTTAAAATAGATATTTTTCCTTCGACCATGACACAAAGTCCATGGAAAAGCAAAAGTATTTTTATTGCTGTTCTTCATGCTAGAGTTACATACAGTGACCCTTTCAACATGATCCACAGGAGCTCTGGAAATCTTTTTTTAATAACATTATGTGCTCTCTAACCTGAGCCAGTATAAAAATAAGGAGATTTAGTTGTTGATGGCCACATATTGTTATTGTATTAGATTTCCTAAGCAACTGTGCATGAACCTGAAGTTAACGCCTCACTGAAAACCCCTGTGCATGAACCTGAATGTTACACCTCTCTGAAAACCTCTGTGCATGAACCTGAAGCTTACACCTCTCTGAAAACCTCTGTGCATGAACCTGAAGCTTACACCTATCTGCAAACCCCTGTGCATGAACTTGAAGCTTACACCTCTCTGCAAACCACTGTGCATGAACCTGAAGCTTACACCTCTCTGCAAACCCCTGTACATGAACTTGAGGCTTACACCTCTCTGCAAACCATTATGCATGAACCTGAAGTTAACACTTTACTGAAAACCCCTGTGCATGAACCTGAAGCTTACACCTCTCTGCAAACCCCTGTGCATGAACCTGAAGCTTACACCTCTCTGCAAACCCCTGTGCATGAACCTGAAGCTTACACTTCTCTGCAGACCCATGTGTATGAACCTTACTTGAGTTTCAGACATCAAGTATTAAGAAAAGTGACAAAGACCATTCTAAAACTGTCCATTTTTTCTCATTGTCAACTTAATATCAACAGTCTATTTGTATATACAACTATTAAATATGACAGAAATAAATATTAACATTCCATCAATGTCCCAACCATTTTATTAAAAAAACAATGACTACTCCAAACATAAACAAACTTCTGATGAATGATTTTATAACTAGATAGAAATAATTATACTGGACGGAAAAAATGTTGCTTGAGGGTTATTACATTTTACCGTGGCATTCCAGCGTGTAACCTAACACGGTTGTTTACTACAGGACCACCATTGGTGTTCTACTGTAATACACAAAATATGTGCAAGTGATCGGAAATAGTTTGCAACTGACTTATTACGGAAGTGATTATAGGTGCTGTCTTTTCAAGCTTGTCGGTAAATTTTGATGACATTATGTGAACTTCAACATTAAATATACATTTATATATGGTCAAGAACTTCTGGATCTAAATTGTGTTTGTAACATAAGAATAAATATAAGAGGGGATGTTTTTGACATGGAGAAGGTTTTTACAACCTTTTGACTGTATTTGCACATTGAAAGTGTGCAAAAGTAGGTATTTTGAGATGTGACTTTGTAAAGCTTATAAGATAAAACTTTCCAGTGTCTGTTTCCGATGTTCAAGATTTTTTTTTTTGCATATTTGAATATTACTGAATGATTTAAAGCGTATCAATATACTATTTGCCACTGGACGTAAAGCAACCAGCAATCAATCATATTATTTCATATTGAACATAATAACCAAGGAACACGTATGAATATTTTGTAATTAAATCTTTTCCGAAATCTACATAAAATTTGTAAGAGCCTAAAGGAATTTAGATTTCTCTGTTTGATCTGACGATATATGTGTATGATATGCTTATAATCAGTGTTTATGTGGCGTTTATTTCAAGTTTATTACATGTTAATGTCATAAGAATGTTACTATGGTTGACAGTTGGAGTTTGATTGGAAAAAATCAGAGAAAGTTCAATGTATTCAAGTAAATGTGCGACATAACTTCATAAGAAATGTCTAATCTTGAAAAATCAGTCGTGTAGAACTCTATTCCAGCTTCATCGGAACAAAACCTATAAAGAAATTAGAAATTTTAATAATTCCATATGTGTATTTTGGACTTCTTTTGTTCATTCCATATCAAGGCTTTAAAAAATGAGTTGTGTTGGATTGTAACAATGTCTTTCTATTGGATATAATAGTACCATCTTCTTGTAGTGGAAGTATTTTGATTTGTGAATGGAATACAATCTTTTGGAATCATTTAAGATGCAATAGACTTTTGAAATGATTTCACTTTTTAAAATTTATTTAGTGAGAAAAGCAATTGTCATTACAAGTAGTGAAATATAAGACTGCATCTAAGTTGGTTGTGGATTGGAACTTAAGTATCTACATTATACTGTATTTAAGTATCTCTGTTATACTGTATTTAAGTATCTACATTATACTGTATTTAAGTATCTCCGTTATACTGTATTTAAGTATCTCTGTTATACTGTATTTAAGTATCTCTGTTCTCCGTAAGTATTTAAGTGATACTTGCTGTCTAATACGCTGTGCATGCTCAGAGTACTTACATTGTATTTCAAGACTTCTACTTACATCATTGACAACAGAAATTTGTATAAGGAGGTCCAGATAAATAATCACTTTTTTTTTCAAATTAAGTGAGTAAATTAGGAGCTCAGAACTGAAAACAGTTTTGATTTTTGTAAATAAGGAAATTAAAAAAAAAGTTGTTTAAAAGGGTTGTTCACAGCATCAATGCCTGTCGAAACAGAGTCAAAATTTGAACTTATAATATAACTTATAGAAACCTGTCAGTAAAGTAACTAAAAAACTTAATAAGCATAATCTAGTTCCATATTGTAGAAAGCCATAAAGGTCATTTAAATGTTGACCTCATTATAACATTGTCAGAGATTTATAACGAGGTGATTACAGATTTAATGTATACAAATTAATAAGGCGATAATTCAATTACTCCACAAATTACAATATACTAATACATTGACATCATTTTCTGGTCCATGTGTGCCGTAAATGGCTCAGACATTTTTATGAGATAACAACGTTGTATGGTGTGACTGTCTAGATCCATACACACCCCTTTTACGTGGATGAGATTTGGACCGCTGTCTAGATTCAAACATATCCCTCATGTGGAGAGTTACGTGTTGAAAGCTGGTGTTCTGGAGTTATTGTACAGTTTATGACAAGTTTTAAATGTGGATCTGTTGTAAAATTGTTTTTACAAGTGAAAATATTTTTTTAGAATTTTGACATTGTTTCGTTTATTATTTGGAGGCTTATATACAACTGATTATTTTTCAAACTTTTTCATGGGTTTGTGAGTTACAGTTATTGAAAAATTTATTGGATACAAATTAGAAGAACAATTGAAGCAAAGAAACTTAACATTGAAATAAGCAGTTGTTAGAATCTGTATTGATACAGTCTTTATAGTGCTTCACATGGTATACTGCTTTCCACGGTATAGTGCTTCACATTTTTTATTGCTTCACATTGTAAAAAATGGGAATAAAATTTTAAACTTTGACGTATACTAATTTGCTGAGACACTATATTCTCAAACTCTTCTGGAAAGAGTGAAAGCACAAACTTTGTTATCGCCTTATTCAGACTTAGTGATTACAGTAATTGGCTTAAGACATGTCCGACAGAGAAAAAGATTTATAAAATTTACCTTAGCTGAAGTAAGACCAGTCATTTTTTAAACCCCCTGAGAATTTAACCTGAGAGTGACTGTTGTATTCTGTAAGGATTAACTCTGATATATACAAGTGGGAATTTAATATAATACAAAGTAACGAACTGTGGTATACATGTACATGTAAAGAAAAATCACCAACAGAGAAAATCTTATAGCTTGTTCTGTTGGTGGCTGGTTGATAGATTTACATTGTTTACATCAAATTAAGGAGAAGAAGTCATATACCAATGTTTTCTAAGTTTATTAAGGAGAAAAAAATCAGAAATTTAATCTGTTATATGTAGATTTTATAGGATTACATATAATATAGAAACAATAGGCTGGAAATTGGAATTCTATTTTTAGACATAGTGTAACATTTGGTACATTCAGTGGGGATTATAACACTCAAATTCAATAAACTTTGTGACTGGATAGAAATCTGTGTTTCAGCTCTATATGATTATAGACGTACATGTATTTTGTGAGAAGTGTGATGTACATCATATACATGTACATGTTATGGGTGACACTAAAGTATGAAATCTTGACAAATTCTTGTCAATGAACGTAATATTAGGTATTACATGCATGTAGAGGTGATGATGACAGATTTACATGTATGTAATACATTCAAGTTATTTCCATATATGAATTTGGATTAAAATATTTGTGTAAGTGTTTTAACTTAAAGGATCAATTATTTTTAAATATTTGCGATTGAAGTAAAAAAAAATGAACGAAGAAATGTTGAAATGGTGATTTTAAATACTTGCAATTGATGAAGAAAAAAAATTAAAGAGGAAATGTTGGAATAGTGAACTTTTTTGAAGAATTATTGCAGTTGAAAAATATCTTCATTACAAACAATGAGGAAAGCCTATTCATTTAACGCGCTTAGACGCAACGATCCCCTAAGATGGTCTAAAAGTTTGAATGATTTAAGGATCCAGAAAAACGTCAATTTCTTGTACGACAGATTTAATGGACCTGTACAAGTAAGTAGTAATGTAATCCAAAATATTTTTGTGGATACTTTATTTTACTTTTTAAGAGATAAGTAACCTCAGAGTTCCATTACTAAAACAGCATGGGTTTTGTTCATTGTTGAAGGCTAACCGTGACCCAGCATGGATTTTGTTCATTGTTGAAGGTTTACCGTGACACGGCATGGGTTTCGTTCATTGTTGAAGGCTAACCGTGACTCAGCATGGGTTTTGTTCATTGTTGAATGCTAACCATGACCCAGAATGGGTTTTGTTCATTGTTGAAGGCTAACCGTGACCCAGCATGGGTTTTGTTCATTGTTGAAGGCTAACCGTGACCCTGGAATGAGCATGGGTTTTGTTCATTGTTGAAGGCTGTATGGTATCTATATTTACTTACATCTACATTATTTTGGTGGATAATTGTTTCATTGGCAATTAATATTTGACATTAATAAATTACATTTTGTCATTATTCTGGCCTTTTTATAGATTACCATACAGTATGTTGGGTTTTTTGCTCATTGTTGAAGGCTTTATGGTGACCTATAGTTGTTAACTTGTATGGCATTTGGTTTCTGGTGGAGAGTCTTCTCATAATGGAAATAATGTCACATGTGATTTTATATTTATTAAAAACGATTTTTATCCAGTTTTGTAAAGTATTTTCTTTTCAACTCTGAGGAATTGGGGTAATTTCTGTGAAAGTATAGTCATTCTAAAGTGTCATTAGAGATTGTGTAATTTTATTTGTGGTCTATTAGAAAGTCTGGTGGACACATGACTTAATGCTGATGACAATATAAAAATAAGGAGATGTGTATGATTTCCAATGAAATAACTTTCCACCAGAGCCCAAATTAAGTAGATGTAACTAACAGCTTTCAACAATGAGGAAAACGAATACTGGAAAGCAAGCAAGTTATAAAAGGACGAAAGTGTCCTTTAATATGTTAAGTAAACTTAGATACGTTTCATATAAAAATAAGAAGATGTGGTATGATTTGCCAATGAGACAACTCTCCACAAGAGACCAAACGACATAGAAATTAACAACTATAAGTCACTGTACGGCCTTCGATAATGAGTAAAACCCATACCCCATAGTCAGCTCATGTTCATCATGTAGTCTATCTTTTTTGTGCTCTTGAAATCGCGAGACACAATTAAATAACTTACAATTTATAAATCAGATCTTTGTAGTTTACTTCAGTATGGGATTTACTAATATGTTGTGGATTTATTTATTTTCGTGAATACCAATTTTCTTGGATTAAAAACAATTTGAATTTCATGGCTATTTGATTTCGTGGTTTAACAAAATTCTTCATACAAACATATAGAAAATTTGTTCTTTTATAAACATTTAAATTCGTTGTTCACCTTTACTCAAGAAATCCACGAAAATTGATATCTCACGAATAATAATGAACCCACTGGTATCTATATAATATGTATATTAAAACCTGACTTGATTATTTAAACTGTTTGTAAGAAAGTTTGCCAGATATTTAATGTGATGAATTTATAGAGTCTGCCAGATAAGTTATAAATTTGATACTTTAATACAAAATGTCATAATAATCTGTTACATTATAATTCTGTATAACATAAATCTGCCATCATCTAATCCCGTCTTAATTCTACCAAGATGTGGGTTTAATGCAAGGTAAGATTTTTTCTTCAAATAAGTATATATGTATATAAAACTGGATTCATTATTATTCGTAGGGTAACAATTTTCGTGGATTTCGTGGATTATAAAACTATAGATAAATCACAATTTTAGTGTTCAAGGAAAGACCAATTATCTATAAACATGTAGAATTTGGAAAAACAACAAAATCCATAAAAATGAAAATGTTCTCTAGTCCACGATAATTTATTCTTAGAATTAGTATAGGTATATACTGTGGATATTATTTGTAGGGTAAATATTTTCGTGGATTTCGTGGATAAACTATAGATAAATCACAAATTGTTTATAATCATGTTATGATGTAAAGACGATGACAAAACAACAAAATCCATGAAAATGAAAATGTTGATCTCCAGTCCAAGAAAATTTGTACCCATAAAAATAAATTAATCCGCAGTAAACCTTGGAAGACTGGTTACTTGTTCAATATCTTTGGAAAACTGGTTACTGGTTCAATATCTTTGGAAAACTGGTTACTGGTTCAATATCTTTGGAAAACTGGTTACTGGTTCAATATCTTTGAAAAACTGGTTACTTGTTCAATATCTTTGGAAAACTGGTTACTGGTTCAATATCTTTGAAAAACTGGTTACTTGTTCAATATCTTTGGAAAACTGGTTACTGGTTCAATATCTTTGAAAAACTGGTTACTGGTTCAATATTTTTGGAAAACTGGTAACTCAGGTTCAATATCTTTGGAAAACTGGTTACTGGTTCAATATCTTTGGAAAACTGGTTACTGGTTCAATATCTTTGGAAAACTGGTTACTGGTTCAATATCTTTGGAAGACTGGTTACTGGTTCAATATCTTTCTGTTGCAAAGTGGTAAATCTGAAAAATAAGTTTGGAATCAGTAAGTTTGTTGGTTAACAAACAGAAATTCACAAAAGTGATCAAACAAAAAGTCACATTTAAGTCAATTTGTTAAAATAATGTTTCAGTAAAAATTTGTTTTGTTGAATGAAGATTTATCAAATTTTAATCTTACAAATTATTTCTTTAAGTACGTGCATGATCCAATCAATTAACTTTACAAGCAGCTTTCATATGTTATTTTTCTTAATCATTTCAGAAAAAAAAAATCATAATAAATTTCACTTACAAATGCAAAAAAAAAAAAAAATATCAGTCCTTTTGTTAGTCAAGGAAATATTACTGGTAATTATAGAGACTGAAAGGTTGTTCTAAATTTAGTTATTTGTATCTGAGGTATGTTATTCCTGCTGACTTCAACTTCGTACTTTATTTGGCCTTTTTAACTTTTTTTATTTGAACGTCACTGATGATTCTTTTTAGACGAAACGCACGTCTGGTGTACAAAATTTTAATTTACTTATGCCAATTAAGGACAAGTTTCATTATCTTTCAGTATGTGGTAACAACTGTGTGGTATTTATTTCCAGAAGAAAAAAAATAATTAATCAAGGAAATATTAATTACCAAGACTGAAACATGGCTTTTGTTCAAAATTTAGTTTTTTTAAAATGTCTTTGGTACTTTATTCCTGCTTTATGCAAATACAGGACAAGTTTCGTGATCTTTCAGTATGTTGCAATTACTGTGCTCTTAATCTTAATTCTTTTGATATATGTAGGTGAAATTCAACTTTTGACCATGGATAATTCGTGTTGAGAAAAAAATTGATTTTAAAACATTTAGATACAATAATTTTTCAACCAATTTTCTAGTAATTAGAAATTAGATTTCTCCCTTGATGATAAAACCTTGTAAATTAATTTTGTCTGACAAGGTTCAGACATGGTTACATAATTGAAATTAATAATCTAATTGCTATCTACACAAAGTGGCTTTTAATTGCAATAATTAACAAACAAAGACATGTACCTGAGTCTTATCATGACATCAAAGAAATTTAAACGAACTTAATGAAGCCAGGTGAGTGTTATATTCAACACCTTTTTACCTGTAATCAGAGGAAGAATCATACCCCAAGTACCCCAGTCTAGACGTTTACTCAAATTAATATAATGAATTTGAAGATATGGTTTCATGGAATTTCTTAAGATTTAAAGTTCTGACTTCTGATTAAAGGAAAGATTGTATCATCTTCTCTCTGTCTTTAAATGGGTGAAAATTGAATTAAAGTCTACCTTTTAAACATAAGACTAAAGGTATAAAGTATATTCATTAGGAATTTAAGAAATGGCATATATGTGTGGGGGGGGGGGAGGAGGGGGGGCAATATTGGTTTGAAAAAGTTGCTCATTTATATATGAGGCCTAAAATGTGTAATTATAATAATAATAATAATGACTATGAAGAGAGGGGGACTGATCATTAGCATTCACTTATATACCTATAAGAACTCGTTAAAAAACAGTACATAGATTACAATTTTTTAACACAAGAGTTTTTTTTTCTACCCAACCTTCTTTACATACCTTCCATATTTTCCTGGCAAAAAACAAAAATTATGGAAGTTAGTTATAATGATTTTATATAAAGAATTTAGAAAATGTTCTTAAAACTTGAACTGTGCACATTCAAAAATGTCCATAAAATATGATAGGAAAGAATAGAAATTAAGGCGTAGGTATAGAGGCTGGAAACATAATTTGTTTTTTGTTGGCCTTCAATGTAACACATCAAATCCTAGAAAATGGCCCAAATAAAGTTTGAAACAACACTAGAGTTTCAATTGACCGATTCCTTACAATATTGATGATCTCTTGTTTGTGGTTTACATTTGTGAACAATTTTGATTCTATTCAAATAATGCTGTGAGGCTCCAAAGGAGAAGGTTGTGTGTCTTGGTAAAAAAAAAGGAAAAAAGGAATTCTTAAGGTTAGTATTTATATCTTATCAAAAAACATGTCTTGGACGAAATAAAACAAGTCAATAAGCGAAAAACTATATCAAAAGAAAACAACATGACATCCAAAATAATGACAAACAGCAGTCTACAAAACACCAAATAGAAAACTACAGACAGAGCAACACGACTTTTTGTCAGTGACTTTTTGTCTGTGACTTTTTGTCCTGTGACTTTCTGTCCTTCATTAAGCGACACAAACCTCACTAGTAATACAGTGGTCAATTACTGGACATTTTGGAATAACCAATCAAAACTTTTACTGACAAAGATGGTTTTGGCATTTTATTTTGGAAACACTTCCTTTTCGTTCACCCCCCTACCCCCTCTTTTTTTTATTTGTTTTAACAAGCCTAGGAATACATCAATGGGGTTCAAAAATAAGTCTAATGTCATTATAATAAGTAATGATCTTTATTTTGAACTTTTGTTGTTATAAATGGTCATATATTATAGTAAAATTTACTGTCAGCAAATTT